ACAGTGCAGCACTTGGGAGTCTTGCCATTATTGCCAATTGTCAGTTTCAGTAGGAAAAACTGTGCTGCAATTCTGCCAACAGAAAACATAATAAGCTTACATCCCTGTCTCTGTTATGGTAAAAGTTTTTCCTACCCGTCTGCTAGATGTTAGAATTCAGACCTCCTGCTGTACCCATTTTTCACCTCTGACCCCTAAAATTAGCTCATGGAATGAGACATGTAGAAGAATAAGGAGAATACAAATGAGCTAGAAGACTTTTCTGCAAAGTTTTAATTACAGATGATATGGGACTGACATTGGCAGTGAACCTACTCTCTTTAGCTACCAGAAAAGTTGCTGGTATGTGAAGGCTAAAAAAGGGCAAGCACAAAATCAGTGACATTGTCACCAAAGCCCTATGATTCCACTCAGATAAGTAAAAGAATTTAAGAATGAAGTGTCCAGTTTACTGACTAAAATGTTTTCTCCAAGTCCCATCACCAGTGCCTTGATAATCTGAGTATCACCCTCTTAAAAAAAAAAATTAGCAAAGAACTCTGAGTATTGGTCCAACAGAATGCAGATTCATTAAAACATCAAATGATTAGAGGTTGTAAAACACATACCTAATCATGATATAACCAGACCAACTTTGGAGAAGGAAAATAATGCAGCTTTTATGTCCCTAAGCATAGCAAAACTGTCCAAGTAAATAAAAAACAGATAAAATAATTAATTTCAGACTTAAAAATAGCAAGTATCCTCAAGATTTTTTCACCTCTACACCTAATGCAGCTACTTCATGCCTAAGATAAGGTGACCAGCTTTCATATCACTAGAAATGGATGTGATCCATTTAAAAGTCTGATAAATTTGTAGGTGAAATCATGCTAGCTAATATGCTTTTGGCTTTGCTTTCAGTATAAAGAGGGATGAAATTGGGTCAGCAGCACATTGTTAAGACACAATCCTTTGGTTGCTTCTTCTTATGGTTTTGGAATTTTCTAACTTTCATGTCTGCAAGCTTCAGCTGTTCTGTTTATACCTGTAGGGCTCCCAGGTAGTACACTAGTTTTTACTTCAAACCCTGATGATTCTCTCAGTGTGATGAAGGGAAGGGAAGGGGAGGGAAGGGAGAGGAGAATCTCCTTCAGCAGGTGAATGGTGTTGGGTGTTCTGCAGAAGCTTGGTCAGATTCTGAAGTAGAAAAGGCCACCAAAAAGGTATTTTTGGATGGCGGTTCAAGACTCTGGTCCCCAAGCTAACCATGCAGCAGAACCACATTTCACGTGTCTGGCAGAGGTGAGTCTGTCTGTCTGACTGACTGAGTATATTCATCCTAGAAGTTAAGGGATAAGGACATTGTTAGTGAAAATAGAAGATCAGAATGGACACTCTTAAGTGACCTTCTCTGGGGCAGTTACTGTTCATCTAGTAATAAAAGATAAACCTGAAAGACAAATTAATCATAAGAGCTTGAGAAAACTATTACTTGAGCTCAATTTTTCATATTCTGAGAATAGATGAAACGTGACTAAGCACAGTAATACTTTTTTTTTAAAGAACACAAGCACCTTTGGTGCTGCTCAGAAAAAAAGAGCCAACTGCTCTGGCATAAAAAAAAAAAATAAATAAAAAATCCTTCATTTCCCTTTTCCCCAGAATTCTCAAGAAAGGAAGCATTTGCTTTCCACTGTTAGGTAATACTGCCACATGACTGGAATTCCAAGAAACTCTCAGAACTCTTAAAACTTTGGCAGAGAATCCTGAACCCCATAGGCATGATGAACAGATGGCAGACCAAAACCATCTTCTCATGGAAGAATGGATCTGCACATGTGCATGGAAATAGTTAAGTCAGAGCTTTAATGAAACTGCAAACAGAGAAAATTTTAAAACATCCACAGGTCCTCTGCCTGTTACCTCTTAAGTTTTTCCTTATACCAGACAATGACATAACAATCTTAAAAAAGTATTTAACACATATAGACAATAATAAAATTGCAGCAAATCTAGAAACTCTGATACATTTGAGGAAAGTAAATTGTAAAGACATAAGTCACTTCCCCAAAACTAGGAAAGAAAATTTCCTAGTTCCTTCTCCGTTTGGGTTAGAAGCAGATCTACATGATTACTGGCACAAGCTACATGCTTTGACCACTTAACTTTTCTGTTTCTTGAAAAAAATACGATTTGATTAAAATTATTTCATTCATTATCAAGAAAAATGGTACTAACTTTTGGTCTGGTCTTCCAAGGAAATTAGGGACACATTTCATTAACAGGTGTAATCTGCAAAACTGTTATGCAAGAAGAGAAACTCCTGCCCAAACCAAGAGGTCAGATATTAAATAAGACTGCTTAATGCACCGTTGCTGCAATTGTACAGCTGAAGTATAACTCCCTGTTTAAAACTGCCTCTTTGTAAAACTGAGCCACACCTTGTCTTGCTTTCTAGCACTGGCTATAAACGCTGAATAAAATGAGAAAAGCAGCACATGGCAAAGCAAAAGGTTCACCAACAGCTTCTGTATCAAACCTTGAAAAGAAAGCTTGTGGAGAGCGCAATGCCTTCTGAGGAGAAACCGCCCCTTTCCGGGCGCTCAGCACGAACCGGTCCGAAGCTCTGTGGGCCTCCGGGCGCACGGGGGGCGCAGCCCGAGCCCGGGATGGGCACGGCCGGGAACGGCTCCAATCGGGAATGCGGCCCCGGGATGGGCACGGCCGGGAACGGCTCCAATCGGGAATGCGGCCCCGGGACAGGCGCGGCTGCCGCGCCCACCGCGCAGCACACCCGGCGGGAAAAACGCTTCGGAGAATTACACCACTTTTATCTAAAATACTGTAAAAGGAGCACTCGAGTTTAACAATCTCAAGAAAAGATAAGCGATTCTGCCCGCGGGCTCCAGCCGGGGCCGCCGCACGGGACGGGACCCGGAATCTCCGCCCAGTCAAGCTCCGGAGGAAGCACGAACCCTTCCGCACTTCCCAGAACGGGCAGGCAGAAAAAGACAGACCACACG